ATGTTGCATTTGTCTCTATCTCCAGTCTCTTCCTTGCTGTCCACCCTTCCATCTGCCTCTGCTTCATCTTCTAATACTGTATTTGTACTACATACTTACGCATATTATCAAAGTTTTATTCTGGCCTTTGGATAAATATTTGTGCAAGCTGGATATCAGTGATTTGATCTAATATGGAATGTGGGATACTTTTGTCACAGAGAAAAATGCTGGGTTAGTGTTGAGTTTTGAGTCAGTGTGATTTCTGAAGTTCAGGTACGTATGTGAGTGTCTTTCTTTTTGTATAAGGTTAAGACTTTCAGATCACAAATTTGTGTTTTTAATTTGGAAAAACAAAAGCAGTATGTGGTTCAGTACTCTCCATACTAAAAATTGTTGAGGTCACATGGTAATTATGGAAGCATAATGAGTATATGAGGATATGCATAGGATGGTCTTAATTGAGGGCATAAAGGCAGGGTTTGAGATGTTTGTGTCTAAAATGGGGTGTTCCTGAATATCTGACTCTGAGCAGCTCTGAGTACAGTCAAGAGTGAAGATATGTCAATTCTGTTATTGGAAAGAACAAGCTGAGAGCATGGAACCTGGTTTTTACGTCTACCTCTGCCAGCTGTGATCTGACAACCTTTCAGGCCCTCATCTGAAAGGAGATAGAATTGGGGAAGACGATAGAAGTGAACTTGTAATCTTTTGTCCTTTGTGCCTCTGTAGGTGTGATTTGGCATGCAAGGAACCATGGGACTAAAATTGCTGGAATTCAGCAGTCTTGTTTTAATATCTTTAGAGACTGTAAGTGTGTCTATATACAACTATATAGAAAAAGATGTAAAAGTTTATAACTCAAATGTAATTGATAACTGTTACTTTAAAGTTTTCACACTAATCTTTATTATGTTTTCTACTTAAAATAGTCCCGTTTTATGAAAAACTTAGGTTTTCTCTTTGAAGATTCATTTGTGATTGGGAGAAAAGCTTTGTGAAATCCACTATTTATTGTAAAGCAGGGCTGATTAATATTAATCCTTTTAAGGCACTGTACTAATAGATGATGTTTGGTATTTGGGGGGATTTTGCATGCCTAGGCAGTGGGAGATTAGATACACAACCGTGGTATACCCAAGGTATATATACAAAATACAGGCAGTCATTTTCTAGATGAAACAGTGTTTAGAAAATGCTTGCTGGTACCTCAATGTTGCATTATTTTCAGACAATGCTTTGGAAGTAAATTTATGGCATCAGCCTTTTTTATAAGGATCAAGGTAATGATCCCTGTTATGACTTGGCATGCCGCTGAGCTAAAAGGTGTGTGGGAGTGTTAATATTCTCCTTTAGTCACCTTGTACACTTATCCCTACATGTGAGGACAAAATATGCAGCTGCCTTACCACCTCAAGGTAGATTTTAAGCAGGTGCAACCAGTTCAGTGTTGTTGGAGTTCTTGAACCCAGTGGCTGCTTTTAAAAGGTATGAGTGAATACAGGCCAAGGCAGAGGCAGGGTATTGTGCTTGATTTGTGTTGAAGTAGGGGGGTTGGTTCTGCTTGAATTCAGCTAGTATCTAAGGAGGCCAGTGAACCGTGGAGTCCTAAAGGGGATATACAGCTTTATGATGCTCTGCAAGTGGGTACTGGGGTTGTGGGAAGAAAATCAGAGCAGTTATGTTGGCAACACAGGGAGGTGTGGCTATAACATTGGAAGAAAGCAGGATATATGAAGGTTAAAACCTTCTTTAGATTACATTTTATTTCTTTGCTTCATACATAAAGATATCTTTATCTAAACTGAGAGTTATTTTACTGACTGATAAGTAAACTTCAGACATAAACTGACAGTTGTCCAAGTATGCTGGTTACACAGTGGGAGGATGAAGGAAAATGCTTTGTGTGGGAACTAATCACAAAAATCAACTTCACTGTTGTATTCTGGAATATTATTCCAGAGAGGATTGAAATAATGGTTTCAATCTTCTGGGTTTTTGTTTGGTCGTTTTTTTTTTTTGTTTTTTTTTTTTTTTACGGTGGACTGGATATAGTGCAGCTAGGTATGCTGTAGTGAATAAGCTCTCCTGAGTGGGAAGAAACTGGGTTTAGGCCTTCTGTGATTAACATACATTAAAAATACTGTAAATCAGTATGTGCCTAATACAGCAGACACATTTGTGGACAGGTCATGCTAAAGCTATTTCAGTAAGAATAATTTTTCTGGGTTTAAGTTAAAAATTCTTCATTACTTCATACATTTAACACTGATTTATATATTCTTAATTGGCTTTTTGTTGGGGACGCAATAGGGAAGTGTTTGAGCTCATGGGTACAGATACTTTGCTACAGAAGAACTAAACTAGCCAGTGTTTTCAGATGTTTTAATGGATATTTATTCTCAATACTATTAAAAACAGAATTGGAGTAAGATAGGACTGAGCCAAATATTCTTTCAAAAATTTTCTTCAAAGTTGTAGTTTCTGACAATTTCTTTCTTCCTCAAACACCCCTCCCTTGAGAGTTCCTAACAGAAAGCAAGTATTTCTTTTCATTTTCAGAATTTTATCCTGCTCTCCCTGCTGTTTACATTGACCTGACCAGGACTGTCAAAACAAGACTCCTCACATAAACCTTTAATTTCATACACCTTGCTCTTAGGGTCTTGCTGTTTAGCTGCTCTAGCCTCCCCCATGATCCCAACTTCCTACCCCAAGCATCATTAGCTGCTATAGCCCGCTGAGCCTGGCGCTTCATTGGTCTTTCTGCTAAAGCTCCAGCCTCTGTTTCAGTCGGGTATTTCAGAAACGCAGGAAAAGTCTTTAATCGAGAAAAGCCTTACCCCTAATTGGAGGCTGAAAGCACAAAAGATGTATGCCAGGAAACAAGAATGGATGTATGGTATCAAGTGATGGGCAAAACCATTTGAAACTTCTGACGTGTGTGAACAGATGCGAGTTCATTCTACCACCGAGGAATTGTGATGCTATTAAATTTTCTGGTCAAGATGTTTGCATTGCTTCTGGAGGTAGCAAATATTCCCATGCCAGTCTCTGACAAACAAGAAGTCTGTCTTCCCAGGCTTTTATCTTGCAGAGCATGTAAAGAGGAGTGTTAGAAGCTCCTCTTTACTTCAGAGGATATAGGGTATGCTATCTCTGTATACACCAGCAGTTCTGCTTTGGTAGCCCTCCGTGGGGGAGAGTGGAGGCACACCATGCAGGAAGGTTGTGTGGCTTGAGCGTCTGCCTGGTGCAGGCAGTGTTACTGCTACCCAGGGAGTGATGGTAGAGGCATGATGGGGGTGAGTGGTGGGGCTACACCTGTAGTGTGTTCTGGTGGTCCAGGACAGGGTACAAGGATTGCTTTTGTGGCTGCTGTTACAACGTCAGCATCTGATAACTCTGCAATCATGTCTTGAGTGTGACCTAGTCACTGGTGTGTTGCTCGTTATTGGCATAATTCTGAAAGGCAGGAAACTGAATTTGTTCCTTCATCATTTCAGTTAGAAATGTTTTCATTAAGTACATAATTTTGTTTAGGTACACTTTCTAGGTGAGAGTAGTATAAACAAAGATGAATGTTGCTACAGGAATATGTAATACAGTTGTGATCTGGACATCAAGAATTGATTTAAATGTGAAATCTGTTTCTTATTTGAAACATAAACTTCCTGATTTTCTGTTAGTTTGAGAAAAGTCTTTTAGGTTTGTCATGCTAACATGGTCCTGGAGCTGAGAATTCAAAAAAATGTTGGAGTGGTGCAGAAAATTGATAATCTTCTCTCGAACCTTCCATTGGAAGACTGATTATGAAGCTTGTCAATCTGTTAAATTGCCTTCAGAGGACTACGGTTTTCTTCAGTAAGATTAGAGATACATTCTCTAATTGGTTGGATATTCTGCCCTTCAGGTTACCTGTAAGACGAGCAAGGGAAAAGGCAAGAAAACCATATGTAATTCTTAGCTTTAATTTTGAGGTTTGAGTACATCTAGACTGCCTGTTTATATTGAAAGTGTTTATCACTGCTTTCATGTAGGAAGTGAAGCAATTTTGGAAACATGCCATTTTGTCTTGTGACTGCTTCTTTTATAGAACTGATATTTATTTTTAATGCTGAAAAAAGGAAGCTCTATCCTGTCTTGTACAACATTTTGCAATATGCTGGTGGGGAATGTATTTCTTACTGTGCTGTAAGATGTGAATTAGCATACTTTTATCCAAAACCTAGGAAGGTTAAAATACTAAGTTTCTACACATGCTGATGAGTGTTTATTAAAACCAATTACTTTGTTTGTTCCTGGTAAATGGTCCTTATTAATAAAAAATCTTCTATCAGAAGATGAAGATAATTGGAAATAATTATTTGATGTTTTTAATTAATGTGGATTGTAAGAGGGAATTTACATGGGTTTGCAGAGGACAGAAAAGATTACTATTCTAGGAGTTTCATACTGATGGTCAGAGATTGAGTCAAAGATTGTGGAAACTCTAAAGCAGTGTGTAAGAAATTGAATTTATTTGTAAATTATTATGAGTAGTTCCTTTTCAGGAGAAAGGTGAAGCTAGATTCTGCCTGGATTATTGTTAACAGTGCTAGTATATTATGTAACTGCTTCACCTAGTGTAAAACCGTTGCAGAGTTTATAACACAAGGCTTGTGTCTGCCCATATCCATTAGGATATTATAATATGGCAAGGCTAACTGCTACAAAGATCTATTAACTTCTTACTGCTTTGTCTGAAAAGATATGGCCAACACCCTGAAATTCATATATCCTGAATGCAAAGGAAGAGAACAAGGAAAAAGTTGAAAACGTTTGACTTCATGATGTTTTGACTTTATGAAAAGTGGATTTACTTGAGGTAGGCTAGGACAAGGAAAAGAGTTAGCATAAATTACGTTAACAGGAATTAATTATAGAATTATTATAAAGTGGTTTGGGTGTTTCTTTGTTTGGGCACCTTTTTTTTTTTTTTTTCCAATTCTAAAATAATCTCTCAATTTTTTCCCTACCAGTATCCCCTTGTGTTTGGACTGATCCTTGCATTCTGCTGGTGTTCTTTGGTTTGCTGTAGTCGAATTTATATGGGAATGCATTCAATTTTGGTAAGAAAATAATCCTACTAAACTTTAATTTTAATGTTTTTCTGATTTTATAGATTTCCCTCACACTTTTTACAGTGCAGTAATTGTATATAGATTTTTTTTTTTTTAGAAAGTGCTACCATATAGGAACAGAATACTTATATTTCTGCAGCAGAGAAATTGATACAATAGCTAAAAGTGGATGTCAAACTTCTGTGAATTTGTACTTTTCGTTCATAAACTCAGTCCACAGTTGAAGCTTAGCAGATATTTAATAGCAGTTTTAGTGCAGAAATTGATGACCGCACTAAAGCATAGACTTAAGCTTTCCTCTATAGAGTAGAAATAGTTTTTCAGGATGAGAGAGTGGCTCTTAATGTCCACTTGGATTCCATGTCAGCTGCTCAAAACATGTGCATATCAGAGTACCATGTTAAATGCCAGGGTTTCACTTACCAGAGTTCCTAAAACCAAATAACAAAGTTGTCATCTTTGAAAAACCGACTTACTTATTAAAAAGTATTAAAAAAATACCAAATCTGAAACAGATGCACAGATGTAAAAAGGGGTAAACAAGACTACAAAATGGTGATCGGAATGTAAAACCACTAATAAGGATGGCTAAAGAGGTTTTTGAGAATCAGTTGCTAGAAGAAGAAAAGCTAACAGACTGGATGCAGAAAGCCTGGTAGCGAGTTGTAAAGCTGGTAGATGAACACAGTGTAAAAGGAGTGTGTGAAAATAAGGCAGCTCAGAAAAACTGAATGACATGTTTTGCATGAGTGATTAGAAGGCTTTCGAAGTCAGAACCACTTGTATGGAGGATGAGGGGATGAACTGGTATTTCAGCTGATAATGTCAGCTGACAGATAATGTCTTAGAACAAAGTCACGCAACAAATAGTGATGCATCATGTAGACTAGGTTATTCAGCAGTTTTATAGCTGAATCCTCTATAGTGTTTGAGTGAATACAATTAACCATGTGTTGCCTGTAATATAAATCAACCATGGTGCCCAACTTTGGTGGAGGAGGAGGGTGTAGGGTGGCAAATATGGCAGGAAGTTGTAGTGGCTGCTTCTGAAATGAGCAAGTCTGACTTTCATATCAGTCAATTGTATTAGAGCTTTTACCAAGCATTCAGTTAGTGAATAAATAATGATTCATTGAAGATGGAGCAATACAAATACTGCATATGAAAGTCCTATGCCCTGGCTCATGCAGGAGTTGATAAGCATATGAATGAAAGTGGTGTGGTTTCTAGTGCTTGGATTTCTAAAAGACTTTCAACACATTTCTGCTTAACAACTAATGGTGACAACAGTTGCAGGTAATACCGTGCAACTGAGTAGTTAATGAGTAGTTAATCAACAGTAACTGAAATTTAATGTTAAATTTAAAATAGAATAACCTTTTAACTAAGAAAAGACTTTTTTTTAAACAATATTAAAACTAAAAATCAAGTATGATGCCACAGAAGTTACATCTTCCTCTTTAATAGTTGGAAACACTTCTCCATTCTTGCAGTATTGTTAATTCTGAAGCTGGGGTGGAAAGTCGAAGCTGCTCTAACGCTGAGCTGCAGGGGCTGACTGCCTTACCAGCTGCTGCTGCCAGCGTGCCTGCGCGTTGGCACCCAGGCGCTTAGGTCCAGTGTTGAGCTGTTCCAGCAAACTAAGTTGGCAGAACTTACTTAGCTGGGCCAGCTTTGTGTTGACTGTAGACTGGAGTGCCTTGGTCCTGGACAAGGACTGTTGTAGCCAGCAGATAGAATCCCAGAATTACAGAATGGTTTGGGTTGGAAGGGACCTTTAAAGGCTGTCTAGTCCAAGCCCCCTCCAGTGAGCAGCAACATCTTCCACTAGATCAGGTTGCTCAGAGCCCTGTTCAACCTGACCTTAAATGTTTCCACAGATGGGGCATCCACCACCTCTCTGGGTAACTGGTTCCAATGTTTCACCACCCTCATCATAAAAATTTTCTTCCTTATCTAGTCTGAATTTATCCTCTTGTAGTTTAAAACCATTGCCCCTTGTCTTATTGCTACAGGCCCCTACTAAAAGGTCTGTAGATCTATAACTTTGATCGTGGATCGCTTGGTCATAGCTTCATCCATGATCTGATCATGATGCAGGTGTCCTATTGATAGGTGATCAGATGTAATTCTTTAACATTAAAAAGATTTAATATTGTATGGTAAATGGGAAAAGATGGGAATCCACAAGTTGCTTTTAGCAACAGAGCAACTAGGCTTGTCTTCTTGCTAATGTAACTTTAATTTTTTTTAATAGTTATTACACTGAAACCATATCTTTCTCTCTCTTTAACAGGATGTTATTGCTGGATTTCTGTATGCTATTCTTATCTTGGTTGTCTTCCATCCAGTTGTGGACCTGATTGATAACTTCAACTTAACTTACAAATATGCACCCTTAATTATCATCAGTCTCCATTTAGCCCTGGGCATCTTCTCTTTTACTCTAGACACCTGGAGCACATCAAGAGGAGACACAGCTCAGATACTGGGCTGTGGTGCTGGAGTAGCCTGTGGCTCTCACGTTAACTACATAATGGGTCTAAAGCTAGATCCTCCTTCTGATACGTTACCTTTATCTCTTTCCTCTCTCACTGTGACTGTGTTTGGAAAAGCCATATTGCGGTTGTTGATTGGAGTAATAGTTCTGTTGTTAACAAAAGTAGGGATGAAAAAAGCCACTATTCCACTGGCATGTAAAATATTTTGCATACCACATGATGATGTACGGAAAGCAAGACAACGCATGGAAGTTGAGCTTCCCTATCGCTATATTACATATGGAATGGTTGGGTTTTCCCTCATGTTTATTGTTCCTTGCCTCTTCCATTTTATTGGTCTTTCCTGATGCAGTTTTATCATTTTAGATAGGGAGACCAGATCTAGTTGCTTTTCGAAGAGGTGCACTAGTTTGCTAAGGGAAGGCCAGTGAGCTTGGCTTTAGCAGGGTCTTTAACAGCAATACATAGCAGGCAAAGCATTTACAGAACTTTGCACATCTTTGGGTACGGTATGGGGCCAGAAGTCAAATATCAGTCCATGAGAAGTGCTGAACTCTATAAATGCTATGTCTAGACTCATTGCTGTAACGAAATCTGTGTGTATGTGTGATGCAATGAATGTATCTGGAATGTCTGTCATACTGTACCTGTATACATTGACATTTTAACAGGTATGTCTGACAGCTGATCAGAAAGCTCTATTCATGATCTGTTTGCCATTTCATAGTAATTTGTTCAAGCTGTTGGACCATAGACTGCTAAATTTGTTTTCTTCTATTCTTTCCTGAAGTCGTGCTTCAAGAGGTTTCAGCTAATAGGCATTTCTAATGGACCAAACTTGTAATGTGGTTGAATTTTTTGTAAAAAAAAAACAAAAACAAAAACAAAACCACCCCAAACAACCAAATAACAAACCAACCAAAACCCAACAAAAGCCTTTTTTATTTTTAGCACACTCTACAGAGTAAAATGTCTGGATTGGCATTGGTAGATATCACTAGCATATATATATATATATCATTCAGGTACTGTATTTTACGGTTTAGTAACTGTGCCTTTCTGTTGCTAAATTAAGAAATGCCATACGTACTGTGATGTAAAAATGCCTAATTTTATTTAAAATCCTACGTGATTAGGCAGATATTTTAAATTGTTGGATTGTCCACCTTGCTGGCATGGTTCACGTTAACCAGAATATTCAGTTTAGCCTGATCAAAATTGCATAAATGAAATGACCCAAGAATTGTGTCCTTAAGCTCATGATGTTGTAAATGGACAATAATCCCTTTTGTAAGTATTTTTAATGTGTATTGTAAGTTACTGGAAGAGGATATATTTTTCTGGAGATTGTTTATACAGTGGACAGATATTAAAAATTAATTACCTAAACATATAAACAATAAAAACACCCCATTCTGGAAAGAAATGGGCCTCACTGGTTCCAAACTAGTTTAGAAGGACCCTTGTTTTTAAATACTTGCTTAGAAAATATAATCTGTATTCTAGAAAAATATGTATTTTTATGCATTAACATTTAAAGGTGTTATAGCTATCTAAATTGGGTAAAAGTGCTTAAGACAATATAATGGTCAAATTAATTTTTTAATCATTTTGATAGGCAGATTGTGAGCAGTCATGACAGTATGGTCAATGCATAAACGGTTTGTGCATATCTAAATTTTACTGAATTATTATTATATTCAGCTTTTCATGATCCTTTTTCCAGTGATGAGTTCAACTGTAATTTCATGTGCCTCTTCTGTGTTTCATTTTCTGTCTGTTAATGCGATGTCTAACTTGTTTTTTCCATGTCAGGAACGGTCATATTGCAGCAATAGCTGTCTTATTGTCTGGCCAGACATGAATTACTTAATCTTGCATTGTATGTTTTTTTTTTTTCAGGGAAAACATAATTTGGTTGGGAAATAGAGTGATTAGATAGAATACAAAGCTTGCATTTTATTGTAAACGGTATTTGGAAGTTTTTTTATATTGGAGCTTTTATCTCCAAATTGTTCATATGTAAATTAGCAAAATTAACTTTGTATCTCTTTCCTCAGAGCAGTCAAAGTTATGGTACGCTGGCATTAGATGATGTGAAAAGCTAAATTTTGATGCATTTTTTCAGTGCATTCAGAATGCACCACTATGAATGTATTCAAACTGATGTATTCAGAACTGATAGTGTGTTAAACAACTTCTATAGTTGAAAAGACCTTACCTAGTAGAAAATGGTTAGCTTGTTTCAGTGCGTATTTCCAGATTTGATTTGTCTATCTGTTCTTTTGCAGTTTAATGCTGAATGTGCAGTAAAAGGTAAATTGGTTTCCAAGGTTTTGAGGGAGGGATTTCCACTGGTGTGGCTTTGCACACTAAGATAGTTATTTAAATAGCTGGGGGGAATGTACACGAAATGCCTTATGCTTAGAGCCCTGAGCAAGTGGTGTAGTTCCAATTATAGTAAATTAGTCTGAGGACTGGTGAAAATAGTAGATAATTTTCTCTGAAATTTAGGGCATATTCTCCTTAAATATCCTAGCTTTACAGTTTATAGTGAAAAATGTTTAAATTTTCGCACAGAAGAGACAAGCGAGCAAAACTAATTTTTTAAGGTACATAACTGACTTCTAGGAACTTCAAGTTTACAGCATAAGAGTGTTCCTGAAGCTGTCTTTTCTAGCTGTGCTTGCTCTGTTGTACTATTAATGGAAAATAAAATCTACTGTGGAAGATCTCGACTGGGGGAAAAAATCGTATGTAGGTAGGGCTTTCAACAGGCTAAGGAGAATGGCACTGTAGCTTATTCTACTGTTACTCATACATACATATTTTATATTTTTATACATTGCATTGGGTAACTTCAAAATGTTACGTTCCATGTACCACATAGTCTAGTACACAGGAAATGTATATCAGAATGTTTATACAGCACCTTTACAACCCTGTCTCTAAGACTACAACTACTTTACTGAAGTTTACATGAAAAAAGTTTTACTAATCTATTTTCATGTTTTATAAGGGGCTAGGCTCAAGAGGGCAGATTAGCACAAAATATCATGCAGTATGAATATTGTTATAGTATAAAGAATCACAAAAATGCAAAAATTTTAAAATCCAACTTAAATGTTTGCATTTTATTATATTTTTGTTTAATAATAGTCCAAGATTCCTTCAGATCAGGCATAAGAAAACATCAGGTAAAACTGGAGCACTTTCTTTGCCCTAAGCTATTCCTAAAGTTGAACATGAAAAAATATTTCTAGTATGAGCATCAGCTGGTACCAAATTATTTATAAATAAATTTAACCTAGCTTTAAAAGGTAGTTGCATGTCTTTTCAGGAGAATACACTTGAAACTTTTCATGAAGTGGTGCAAAAACATATCCATATGTCACTGCTAGTGAACTTCCTCAGTTCCAGGTTGTATAGTCCTAAAGGGAGAAATGCTACTACTTTATAGAAACAGATATAAATACACATTTATTACAAAAAGCTATGAGTTAAATTTGTCTTACTTGATTACTGTATGAAATAAAACCTGAAACTAACAGTCACATAGAGTTTAATCTGGCACAAAATTCTGTTTTCCAAGAGGCTGAAGAGACTTGAGTTAGTCTTAGACTGCCTTACACATAGGAGCAAGAATTTTCTGACTTGGCCCTCAATCAGAACTAACATATGCATTGCATCTTGGGTAAGTTCTAGAATCTGTTACTTTGAAAAGATTTTCATGCTTGTAAAAAAGCTGCTACTTGTGTTTCCCATACCACAAACTGGGGTTGAAATGTCTTTCTCCTGTGTGATCACTTATGAAGCTCTTCCGTCTCTGATCACATTTGCCTTATCACTTACCTTGCAAATTGGGTAGGGGAGGAAAGGGGAAGGTAGAGAAGCTGTTTTAAGGTAAATTGGCAAACCAAAGGGAGTTGTATTTTGTTTATTTACTTGGAATTTTTTGTAAGCTTATGTACAGGTTTTCTCAAAAAAAAAAGTTTCTTTAAAAATAGTATCTCTAAATGTGGTATGTTGCTTTTTTTTTTTTTTTACAGGAACAGTGTTAAATTGTCTGGATTTTAAGAGCTATTATGTTTTCTTTTATTACTATTTTTTTTATCACTGCTTTATGTATTTTTTACTCTATTTCTTGCTTATTTCCCAGGGAGTGTCCTGAACTTTTTGTAAGTAATTGCTACTGATGTGAAGATTGTAATTTTGAACTTGTAAATACTTAAGGGCTGTCAGTGGCTGTTAGCTGTTCAAATACAACAAAAACAAACTTTGCATGCTGTAAGTAAATACATCTGTTGTGCGAAAAGTTGTTTCTATTTCAGTATTTGCTTTCTCAATAAAAAAATTGAGATTTTTCATACACAATACATAAGAGATTTAATAGTTCAGTGGTATGAGGGGGGCATCGCTGTCTAACTCCTGTTGACTTTACTGGGAGTTCTGCACCTAGTTCCTTCCCATATTACACTGGGAATGAACCCTGAAGGTCACTTCCATGCTTTGACATGCGTACAGGCATCGGTGTGTGTGAAAGGACTTACCTTCTAAGGTATAAATGTAATATCCTTGCTTTTGAGGTCTGAGATTGTTCTTTTAAAAATCATACTTAGCCCAGTTTTTACAAGACTTTTTAAGGGCTAAACTTGGAAGCTGTTTCTTAGTAGCTGGAACTGGCTCTACGTTTGCAATTCTTAATTGATGCTTTCCCCTCTGTACCATAATTCTGCTGAATGACGAGATCCCAGAATAATGTCAGCAGATAAAATGATGACAGGAGAATTGATTTCTTGGGGTATTGTGGCTCAACTTGTAATAGATTCTTAGATTTTTTTTTTTTGTCTAATGTAGAATGTTTCTAGGTTATACAATTTATTTCTCTATTCTGCAAATAGCTTTGAGGAAACTTGGACTTTTTGTGGGAGGAAATCTCTTTGACTCCATGCCAGAACTTTATTCTAGTGGAAAGCTTAAGTGGCCTTTTTGTTTCAGTAAAAATGTATAAGCCTATTTTAAAATTTACTGTAAATAACATATTTGTCAAATTGATAGGTTACTTAGGATACTAATGTTGTTTTTCTTTGTATAATATTTCTCAAAACAAAGGCAAACAAAGCTTAATTTGGAAACAAAATGTGATAGTGTGGCAGAGAGGATATAGCTCTTCAGGTATTCTCTAAAAAGCCAGTATCACATGCTGGAGTTGAAGCAGATTTAACTATGCATTGGAAAAATTTCTTTGCACTCCGTTCTGCACCAGAAATACTCGACTTGCATGTTGGTAAGAGTCCATTTAACAAAACAAAGCAAAGCAATATGTGCTTGCAGTGTGTAATTAGTAACTGTTCCTGTAGGATAAAAGAAGAATAGAGGGTACATAGAATACTACCTTAAAGGTATTGATCAGTAAATGTAAATAAAAAGTCCTATCAAGTTGGAGAATTTTATTAGTCACTAAACTTTGACTAAATTAGTCACTAAGTTTTTCCCACAACTTTATTTTGTCAGAAAGTGTAGTGAAAGACAAGGGTGATATTCCTGAAACAGAATTTAGATCTTAAGACAATTCTAGATGTCTGAAGTATCATAACTGAAAGAGATCAGTTCAGGAGGTAGTAACCTGAAAAATAAGAGCAAAGTCTGAGGGGGATTTTGTATTAAACTTAATGCACTTAAAAATGATGCCAAAATTTGGCCTATACTTGATTTATATGAAATCTGTAGTACAATATATATAGAGATATATAATATATTGTGTATTGGAGTTTAATTTTTTATGTATAGATTTTTTTTTTTTCTTGTTACTGCATTCCCTGATAAAAAGCAAGTGTTCATAACATAGAAAACAGTTTTGTCTGTATAAGGTAAGGCTGTATGTTAGCAGTATTTTGGGAAATAATGCAGTTGTAATCCCCTGTGTCTCAACCTCTTGGAGAACTTTCAAAAAAAAAAAAAAAGTACTTTCAAATGGAAGCCCTGAGTTAGTTGAGGATTGAGAATTATATAATGGTTGCTGTATAATAGTGTACAACTGATGTTTTAAAAATTAATACATTGAAACGTTTTGTTATCGTTAATGATTTTGTACTCATTGTACACTTTCTGCAGTTGTCAACTAATACTTAAACTCACATTGACTGGTAACTGAAGTGTCTAACTTCATTGGCAATGAGTGGGTAATAAACTACTGTTGGATTCAAATGTGTTCTGTTGTCTTTATTCCTTCCAGTGCTGAGGGATACATGGCTGGACACATACCACAAGTATAAAACACTGATCACAAGAAAGCTTACATTCGTATTACCATATAGCAATAATTGTTAGAATAATGTTGGCATTTAAGGTGTGGGCTTTAGATGCAAAAGTTTAGGAAAAAGAATGAGGAAATACAGAAATGAGGGGTTTGTTTATTTCCCACTGCCTTAAAATCTGGACTGTTTAGTTTCATATACTGAATAATAAAACAAGGTATTGATTAAACTGTATACAAAAATGTAAATTGTATCTTTCTGTAGCTTTTGCCACTTGTTGCACACTGATAAATTAATATGGAAGCATGCTCTTATTCTAATTGACAAGAAACTTGCTTTCTAGGGAAGTGCCTGTTTGGAGAAGACTTTCACAAATTCTGGACCTACTGAAGTCTGGGTTTCCAGTGGATATCTGATGGATGCTTTGACTCGTTTGCTGCAGGGTGACTTTAATGAGATAGCTCAGTCCTTATTTGAAATCAGAATCCTTATAGAAAACCACCATGAGTTCGTATCTTGTTGGGTCACCTTCCAGTAACTTCTGCTCACCTCCCAGATCTGCTTTGAAAATTGGCCAACTGTGGGTATTTTTTTCCTTAGACTACTGAATATGTACAGCTTTTCATGGAATGCATGTCGGCAGTATATTTGCATAAGTTTTGCTTCCTTAGTAAACCAGACTAATTGCAGAATACTATTAATTTCAAATACTGTGAATTTTGTTTCGCTATGGTCCCAAGATTCTTTAACTGCTATGTAATATAGAAGCATGAGAAAGTATTAGTTCATTTGTATGTCTGTATTAACTTAAGTAGCCTTAAGCTACTTGAAGTGCAGCATAAAAAATACTAGTCAGCATAACTCTTGCTTCATCTCTTCCTGCAGTTGTGCAATGCCCAGTGAGGAAGTTTGAGCAGTTAAGTAATGTATTTGAACAGTATTGCAGAACACACTAGAAGAGGTGGGAACTGCCCCTTAGAAGGAAGCTGTTATGATATTTCAATTCCACTTACTGTACACTGTAGAGTGTTCCTCTTCATTTTGCTAACTGGAAGGATTTATGTGGAGCTAGTGCACAAGATTCTACTTTTTACATAAGGTAAGAACTCATACTTTTATGCTAAGCCAATCTCCTAAAACTTGCAGAGATTGCTGTGACTTTTTTTTGTCCTGTAGAGCTGTCAAAAATGTAGATAACAAGGATGTTAATTCCAGGGACTGCAGAAATGTATGATCTGTTGGCTATTAGTTTGTTCTATAAGTCTCAAGATAATTTTGAAGATGCCGAGATAAAAAAAATTGAACACAAAAAAAAAAAAAAAAAAAAGAAAAACCCGAAACAAACACACATACGTACACAAAACCAAAAGAAAACCCCAAAGACTTAAAGAATCTCAAAAAGGATAAACTCAGAAGAAAGTACATGATGAAAACCTCAACAAGTGTAACTAAATCACACCTCTTTGGCAAGATTTTAATTCATCATTCCATGGATGTTTATACCTGTTCATGGTCTTTGCTGGGTAAACATGGGTTTCTTACAAGGATGTAACTTGTTACCACAGAAGAGTTCTGGTCCCTCGTTTCATAAAATGACAAAGTGCTTGGTCTTTCTAATTATTCATTCTAAATAAAATAATTTTGAAGTGATTTGGAATAAGCATTCCTTTTCTGCTTAAACTGCTGATGAAGCTGAATTGCTAGCCTCATGGCAGTTCTAGCTTATGTCATGAACCAAAACCAGAAAGGTGTAATTGGAACTCCTTTGATCATCACATCCTGGCCAAATATTACTGAACTGATAACTAAATCTCCATAGACCTGTGATTGGGATCTTCCTCAGTTGTATACTTTGTTTGCTGCTCTTTCTGTGAGACTTTTAGATCACAAGTGGCCCAGATACAGGGCAACTGTGTAAACTTTTGTTGGTACAGATCATTAATAGTCCTTTGACATCAGTTTAGCCATGATTTGCATATAAATTGTTTAATCCGATTTGACTCTTTGCTTGCTAATTATTTTGCAGAAAGTAAAAGCAATTTCGTGCCCAAAAGCTTAAACTTGCAGTGCACTGGGAATTGTCCCTTCCTCCATTTTACATTTTGTAATAGAGCCTTCCCAGTGCTTTAGCCTTAGTCTGTGAAGAACAGCTGGATGTAGACACTTGTTTTTTGGTGTGGGTTTTTTTTTTTTTTTTTTTTTTCTCTGAAGGATCTTCTTATCACTCTTTCAATTGTCAAATATTTATTATTGACTTAAATGGATGCTCTGGCTTTATACAACTGTCTTACTCTGACCACATGCAATAACCTTTCCAGCTGGTGTGGCAAATACTTGGCTTACAAATGATGTGGGTTTGGTACAGTACATGGCAGCCCTTGCTAACTATAGCTGGTATGCTTGCTTTCACCCCTAATGTTCTGACCCTTCCTTCTGCTTCTGTGACTAATAGTTTCTTCTGTCCCCACAACTACTGAAGATCTATCACATCCTAAAGACAAATGTTTTCTTTTTCAAGTACATAATAAATCTTCCAGGTAGGAGAAAGGATTCTGAATCTGTGGGGTTTTAGTTCCTCCCCTGCCTCCCCTAATTGCATCTACATTGCAGCATTTTGTAGGGAAGCCAAACTTGTTTTCTTAATCTCAGGAGGAAAGGAGCAAAATTCTTTCATGCTGCCATAAAAATCAGTAAAAGGCTGCTGTTTAAATAGATGCTTCATAATGAAATTCAGTGAAGTTTAGACAACAGCAAACTCAAGAGAATCTATTTTCTGTGGATACTATGGTAAACTTATTAGTTCAAAGGAATTAAGGCATTTATTCTACTCTAGAAAACCCTACAGAATAGTGATAGAAAATGGTAAGTCTGCAATAGGTGAAATTACTTACACCTAGATTCTGGTCAGCCTTTCCCAGGTAGAAAAGGAATGATGTCCTGATTCTGTACAAGTGGCTGCTCTTGCCTCCCAGCCATCTGGTGCTTTTCTAGGTGTAGCCTTTCTGTGTCCTACACGCCATTTTTACTCATTTCTGTGGACACTTATTTCTCATCTACTCTTCAGCTTTTTCCCTTCAAGTAGCTCCAAAGACCAGAATCCTACCAAACTTTACAGCCACGCTTCACCTTCCATGACACACCACAGCACCGAGGTCCTTCAGCTCACAGCGCAGAGCGTTCACGTGCCAATCTGGTTTCCTTCATGCAGTCATCCTCTGCTTAGTCAGATGTTTCCATTCTATGCAGCTGGTGTGAAACGTGCAGAGTAAGACTGCAGAAGAGGAGAAATAGCAGTGAGGTATGTCACTAGAGCATTGTAGAAAGAAAAGGGGGAGGGGGAAACCTGTGTGTAGCAGAGGTAGGATGTTGGCATATGGAGGAGAAAAGGGTTGTGGGAATGTGCAAGAGCGGAGGACATAAGGAATTAACAGAGGTGTTGAGAAGTAGTAAACTAAGGAAGAAATTGAGAGTTGTGAAAAAGGCATGAGCTGTAAATCCTTTGCTCTTTTGAGAACATCCTTGGGGTTAGGAACAAAATAAATTCCATCTTCATAATCTTCTAATAACTTTTAAAATTCCTTTTTTCCTTAACCCCCGCCCCTCCCCTGCTGATATGATACTGAATATTCAAAAGAAAGTAGGTAAGAGTTTCCCAAAGTTAGAGTGGGCAGCTATTTTGGCTTAGAGTTGTGGTCATCTGTTAGAGAGAGAACAGTCTATCACCTGTACTAATTCTAATGCAGTTTCATTCAAGGTAGTCTCAAATTTGAGTTTGTAGATGGATTCAGCAGCTAATCTTCTCAGAATCTTAAAAAAAATAACAACAAACAAAACTAAACTTGGCTGGGTTTGGTTGTTTTTTTTTCTAAAGGTTCTTTTCCCCTTCAATATATGAGGCTAATTTGACATGATAGCTTAGCAAGCAGAGGCAGAAAGTACCTTCTGCTTCCGTATCAGATAAAGACAAAAATGTCCCCTGAATTATTTAATCCATCACATGTCTAATCATCTCTCCTGGTATGCTGGTAGCCGTATTTGGGTAATTCCTGCTGTAGAGAATTCAGTCCTGGTGGCTAGTGAAGGCCACAGCAGCCTTGGGAAGATTGCCAAAAAAATGCCCGTTATGAAGAGTTACTTCTCAATTGCTAATCTCATATGGTTAAGCAAAGGGATGTAATCATGTTTGCCTCGTACAGAATGATTAAATTTCAGAACATGATGACCCAGATTTCAACTAACCTGCAAAGATTTTTAAACAAAAAATTTAGAGAGGTGGTAACCTGTGCTTCTCCTGCACACAGCACGTACTTTAATTACTCCTTTTTGATGATTTACTGTTTACAGCATTATTCATGCTGTAATGCCTACTAATTGCTTAGCAATTATTGCTGTGGACTGCAGTGGATCAGCTGCAGATGCTGAAACTATAAATTAAATAAAGCCTATTACTCAAACTGACACTTGCTGCTTTAAGAGCTAGAATATTTTCTCTGGGCTGATGTTTATAGAACATAATGCTCTCTCTGATAATCTTTAATAAGGTTTGAAGGAGTAAAAGTTGCCAACATCTTTAAGACAGTGGTAAAAGTACAAAGTCAACTACTTTAGCATTCAGACTGATTTCATACCAATGCTAATTAGCCCTCTGTTGTGCTTGCCTTGCAGCAGCAGTTGTTTCCTGATGTATGGGCCTTGTGATGGTATTGAGATTGTGACTAGACTTCAGGCTGACTAACCTAATATATAATTGAAAGAAAAATTAAAAATTCTTATGGTCAGATTTGTCTCTTTTCACTTAAAGGCATGTCCAGGCATCTCTTTTAAACATATGGTTACTGAGATTTCTTTCTTGTCAATGCAAATAAAGGTTTATTTGAAAATTTATATACAAGACACTTAGTAGTTATGCAAACGCTGTAGCTATGATAAAGCAATTCTGAAATATGTATCTGGTCTGATGCTTCTCTGTCCTTGAACTTGGACTTTTGGGGTGTTAGTCATCTGTAATTGTTCTTGGTGTCAACCAATTTCAATTGGAGTTAGAAGACCAGAGCTTGAAGCAAACATAAAAATGGTATTCCCTAACACACACAAAAAAAAAAAAGCGTACAGCATATGGAATTTGACAAATCCATGTTCTTAAGAACTTGCCCCCACTCCCCCAAAGTCAATAGGTAGCACATCTGGGTTGTTTCCTAATGCGTGTCTGCTGTGTTCAGGAACTTCACATGTGAGAAGAGCCAGGTTGTCCTGTTTGGTCTCTGTACAAATACAAAAAGCCCAGAGAATGCTGATAGGTGAACCTTCCCTGGTGCGCTCTGGGTGCCCTCTGCTACCACTTAGATGGAAGGCTCCTGCAGTTGTGTCCAGTTTGATCTTTCTGTTTCAGGGAGGAATAAGGAATTCTTGCCGCTGACAAAATTTCCAATAAAAAACCAAAATCTCAACATGTATACCCTTAGCATGGCTGTTCAAAAAGACAGTATGACCATGAAAACAGAAACGTGTCTGCAGGCTCTCTTCCCTGCCTGAGCTATGCCTGGAACATCCACTCAGCCTTTTAGGGATAGTTACAGAGAACAGCTGGGGAGGATGAGGAGGAGCAGTGCACAGCGCATGGCCCAGTTTTCTGCTTTTAACAGGATCAGATACAAAATCTTACACTAGTGCTCTGTGCAGGTCATGAAAAACTGCAAGCATTGTTACCAATAAGAGCATTATTAAAATTAAGAATTCCTGCAGCAGACAGGACGGACACAGCTTATTCACTGCAGGATGCCAGAAGTTAGCTAAGGGTCTCTGAAGTCAGAAGCTGCTAACTGAGCTGACCTCTAAGAAATGGTGTCCTTACCCAACAACTTGACTTTGCAATCAAAACATCATTTTATTGTACTATGTAATTAGAGTATATGATTTAACAAACATTTGATTTTGGTTTATTAAGGGCTTATTCAGCACTAAGTGGCAATTAAGCATTAAAGTACCTTCAGTAAATCCAGGAACTTGATAATCATCCGTCATAATAATTCTGCCTCATTTCTACATTTTGTGTCAAGTTCTGCAGGTAGAATTGCAAAAAGTGACACAGAGAAGTTTGCCAACTCTCCCTCCCCAACAAACAGAGGAGAACTGAAATGTGAAACGATCCAATGAGCTGTAACTTTTTAAAGATGTTCAAAATATTCTCTCCAATAAATCATGTTACCTTCTACTACTTCAGCTGCAGGAATTTGCTAATGGAATTATGTTCATGAATCCCTGGTATGTAACACTTCATCTACATGCACGTTAATTGCAAATCACTATACTGTAAAAGTTGGTATAGGTGGCCAAAATACACTGCCACATAAATAACCTTGACATAGATAGCCAAGTAGTTAGGGTACAACTGCTTGATTTGATAGCCCTTACCTGAATCATTCCAGTTAAAACTGCAACAAGCAACATTCAGAATTATCAAGCTCTACCAACATTTATTTATGAAAGATCTTGGAAAAAGTAATTTCAACTACAACTACATACTCTCATTTCTTTCTCTGCTTTGAATGCTATGCATAAAATTACTCTAAAAATAATGGTGTTTTCATTCTCCCTTTTTTTAATAACTTTGTGGAGGGGAAGAAACACTTCTCACTGACCTGCATTTCACACAATGCAACCTAACTACTTCACTTTCTTTTAAGGTAGGAATCATAAAGATTCCTTTCTCAAAATGTCTTTTAAGTTATGTCTGTAAAGTAGCTGTCAAGAGTTACAAGCGATCTCTGAAGCAACTGCCAGGCAATTACTGTGGTGAACTTTACAGATGTGTTTCTACCTAGGATGTACGGTGACTCAGCAGCGTTGGTGTGCTATCAAGAAAGTTGTACTTTCTGTTAATATAGCTGGTTTCATCTGGGAGTACTGAATACCAAATCCGTGGCTGTTGAAGTATGTCATTCCAGTTGATCTTGCAGCTGTTTTTACTGTGTGAACAATGAACAGAAGGTATTTGTTGAATTTGTGGCAATACTTACCACCCCAGGAAACTGGGATGAAAAACTACTAACTACTACTACTGTATTTACAATACAGCCTTAAGTATTGTAATGTATGTTGCGTTAAATTCAATATTGTCTTCAGTGAAAGCATATACATCTTGTTTTGAAATTTTCAGAGCAACTCTCACTAGTTTGAGCAGTGATTAGTCCTGGGTGATAGACTTCAGCAGGACCAGGCTTCACAATGATGGAAGGTATTTACTGTGAAAACAGTAAGCGTGGAATTTGGGTCTCTGTGCTTTGATGTCATGTGCTTAGATGTTTTTCTATCTTCAGTGCACCATACAGAAAAAAAAAGTGGCCCCAGAAATAATTAAGAAGCAAAAATAAACAAAAATGGTGCTTTTTTCATGGCAGTTGGTGAATTGCTCTGTCTTCTGTGATACCTGCTTGGCTAAGGGTTCTGTGAGCTGTGCATCTGTGAGTCCTCACGAATACAAATAGTTGCATTAATATCTGGTCCTAATAAGCTATTTAGAGAGCAGACTTTAATCTGAACTCTAGGTGAATCATTAAGGCATCTGTGAAATACAAGTCAAGCTGACCATCTCACAGTATTGCAGAGCGATCATCGAGAAGGGTATTCTCTACTCACAGAAAGATTATTGTGCTGGTAGGTACATAAATAGATGCAGTAATAAAAATAACAGTAGATATACTGCATGTAGAATTAATTAAAATTTTGCACACTACTAGTGGTAGGCAACTGAAATTGTCAGTACTTTGAAGTACCTTTTGATTGACTTTCTGCTTTCATTACATGGCAGAGTTAAATAAAAATACATTAAACTGAGGTCCAAGTCATGGTTTTTATAATATTCTGTGGTTATTATCAGTGTGACTTGACTACATTATTGGGCTTAGATAAATCTCTTTTTCATCTTGCTAGAAAAATATATAGTCATCTTAAATGTTAGCAAATGTTAGTATGCTATCCTTCTAATAACCTGTATGTGCTAGCTTATTAAATTGTAATTAAAAAAAAAAAAAAAAAAAAAAGAAAAAAAATACTATTTGGAACTTTAACTGGAAGAAATGAGAGTCTGGCAAAATGTAAGAGCAAGCTGAAGGAAAAGGAAACATAATTAATGCTCCTGTCCCCCTTCCTGTTTGAATCCCTCCCAGGAAATAATCCTTTCTGTTCTGCTTCGCTGGAGAAGGGCAGCTGGGCAGCAGCAGATGCTTGTGCATCTCCGTCACCCCTGTGGTCCAGCTGCTCGACAGGTATTCTATGTAGGCAGTGTTAGTTACTGCTAAAAAGCTATAAAGGAAAATTCAGTCCCTAACCCAGTTGACCAAATCTGGCCTCATGTGCCTAGGGGTATGCAGGGAGAGCCGGCCTCTCCTCACAGGAGCAGCGCACTCGTTAAGGACAGGAAAAAAAAAAAAAAAATCAAGAAACAGGTTGATTTTAATTACTAAAGGACAAAATCGCCGTTTGCTTGCTGGTCTTTCGGGTTCTGCTCTGTGGAACATGACATCATTTTCTATTTGGGGCTCCCGAGGTCGGTGCTAGCGAACCGCAGCGATGCCCGAGCGGCCACTTCTCCCGCCCCGAGGCCCCGCTCGCCGCCGGCAGCCCGGGGTCTGCCGGAGGACCCAGGCCGTGGCCCGACCGGAGCCCCGTGGGCCCCTCGCCGCGATTTTATCCCGCAGCGGCAGCCATGCCTCCTCCCTCGAGGGCCGGGAATGGCGCCGGGTCCCCTCAGCCGGGGAAGGCCCCGCCCCCGGTGCCACGGCAACGGCCGCCGGCCGCCAATCACGGTGAAGGGCGGGTGGGCCACGCCCCCCTCCGCTGTCTGCACCAATCCCCTTCCCTTTGTGTAGTTTCCTCTCCCCTCCGCCACGGAAGGAAGATGGCTGCCGGCGTCAGCGGCGTCAGCAGCCAATGAGGTGGCGGGGGGGGGGGGGGCTGTGGAGGCGGGGCCGGGCGCACGAGGCGGCGGCCGGTTGTGGTGGGCGGCGGGAAGCGGGGCTCGCGGGAAGGGCCCCCAAGCGGGGGGTTCTCTGGGGCGAGGGGCCACTCGTGGGCAGTTGCCGTGGGGAGGGCGGGGCTGGGTGGGTGTGCGCGCGCGCGCCTCTGAGGGGAGTCATCCCTGGGGCGGGGGGGTACTTAGTGGAGAGCTGTGGGGGAGGGGAGTGTGTGTGTGGGGGGTCCCTCTGCAAGGGGGGGGGGTGAGGGGGGCACAGTGTGTCCTGCGGGTTTGGCCGAGGGTTGCCCCGTGCGGTTTGTGGGGAGGGAGGCCAGGGGTTGCTCAGGGCGGGGGGTTTGAGCTGGGGGAGCCCCCGCCCAGCAGTGCCCCGGCCCCCACCGCCCCCGAGCAGCGGGGTCGGGCTGCTCCCGGCGTGTGTGTCAGTGTGCTGGCGGTAGGGAGGAGGAAGGGGGAAGCTCCTGAGGTTTCCTTCCCTCACCGCTGCCTTTTCTTTTTCCGTTAGGCTAAACTGAAGCATCTCTGGTTCCGCTGGTAGCGATGCTGTCTCTGTCACTGGTGAAGCGTGAATAAAACCGCTCAGTTTACACTGTGAGTTTACCCTGTTACTCAGTGAAGCCTGGAAGCTTAGAAACACTCACTGGCTCTGCTTTCAGAGCACTGAGCTGGGGTAAGGGGCTGCTGGAGGGTGGACACTGGCCTGGCCACCTTTTCTAGCTTTGATGCTGTGTCTGGGAGGGAGTGGGCTGGGATTGAGCCTGTCATGAGGGCTGGGTCAGTGTATTGCTAATTTGGGCAGGCACATCTGATTAGGGTTGTGACTGGCCACTGACAGGCTGTCAGGGTTAAAGTTAGGGTCTGTATTGGCAGATAAAATATGTTTATTAAGAAGCTATGCTGGTTAGTACTAGCTGGCCTCACCTAGGTTTGGTGAAGATGGGGATCTTTTTTAATAATAGTCTTAAAAAAAAATTGGGAAAAGGTCAGAAGACAAAATAAATGTTATGATTTTGATTTTTTGTTCGGCTGTTTTATTCCTCAGTAAAAAGAAACTTTTTTATGTTTTTGAAGAAAAATATGGAGAAACTACTGTTAAAGCTGTAATACGTATATCCTTAATGATGTTTTATATAACCAACAGGTATTTTAAAACATGCTATGCTGGAGAATTAACTTTTTCCCACAAGGTATGGGAAGTGGAATTGTCAATGCTGTATTATGTTACTGACTCATGGTTACAGTTCTATAATTCTAAGTTATTTTTCCCTAGAAATGTATATACAGAAGAATGCAGAAACACAAGGTCTTTTCTTAGTATGCTGGTTTTTGGGTCTGTAAAAACTTTATTCTTAGAACTAAGCAATGTTAATGTCTTTTATTTCCTAATATTTTAAATGGATTTCCTGTTTGAGATCAACCATTAGATTCAGTGAGGTGTGTGTGCTCCTATAAGTGTTGTTGACAGAGTAACTGAAAAGTTTTCTGTTCATGTTTATCCCAAGGTTTGCTTTCTGCTTGTTAATTTTTCATAATGCTTGTTTAAAGTTTATATGTTGGTTTCTGTTTGTTGAAGGACTGTGGTAGCTATTTGCGTTTTTCTCCAGATATCTTTTTATGGGGTCAAGGAACAGCCCTGCAGGGAAGTTGGGCCTAGGACTCCTCGACAGATTCTGCATACACAGACACTGGCGTGGGGCCTGGCTGTTTCTTGTATGTTCTCAGACATTTTGGAAACAAGTATCTTCTTTTTTTGCCACATAAGAGTTCTACTCTACATGGAGTGATTGATGATGTTCAGGTAGTTTTTTAAATGCCTTAAGTAGAGAGGATTTTTTTAAAAGTTTTTTTCCCTTCACTGTATCAGTGTCGGGGTTCTTTGCTGGGATCTGGTCTGTACCTGACTGCATGAGAGGTCTCATGTAAAACCAGATTGTTGTTACGTGCTGACAGCACTTCCCAGCTGGGTTCTGCAGCTTTGTCATGCTTTTACTGTAACTATACAAATAATGGGATTTCTGAGATTTTCTGAAAAAAAAGCAGAGCATAATGAAATCAGCACTACCATGCTGATTAACCATGTTAATGTAAAGTTGCCTGTGCAGGCTTCTAGGACTTGGTTTTAATTGATGAGTGAAAAGACATTTTCTGTGTGGGTCAGCTGCTCCTGTGTGATGACGAGTCTGTTAGTGGGTTTCACACCAGTCATAAAGTGTTGAGCCTTGTGAATCAGAGACTTGGTGAGGGCAGGTTTTGGAGGTGAGTGTTCATCGTGATTTGCAAGCAGTTTAGGTGCAAGATAGACAATGAAGGACACAAGAAAGGCAGGAAAAGAGCATGTTGCCTATAGCCATGTGGGGTTAGGAAGCTCGACTTCAAACATGCCTTTGCCCTCTTCAGACTTTAGGCTGACCCACTATCCACTTCTCCCTTAGTTCTGAAAGGGGGAAAAATTAATTCAAGTGGTTTAATGTCTCAGGTAACTATTATCATGTTGTATTGAATGCTCATAGCAGCCAGATGTGAGTGTAATAGATTGAGAGAAGAAAGGTTTTTTAGTTGTTGGATTTGGTTTGTTCCTACTGCCCCCCCTTCCCTGGGAAAACTTAGTGATGGGTGTTTCTGGACTTGACGCTTGCTGGATGCTTAAAGAGCAAATACAAATGCACAAAGGTCAGTTGTCCCCTGTATGCTTCTGTGTGTGTTGCATGGAAATAGGAGAGTCACATCTTGCGTTGCTGTGAACTCTGGAAGATCAAAAGGTCTGAATTGAATTCACAACAATGAGATTTTAAAAAAGAACGTGTCATTTATTTTTAATTTCTTCGATAGATCTGAAGGAGAAGGTTGCCGTGTAGTTGAATTTGGGTTTTTTCCTTCTGTTTTTGGTGCTAGAGAAGGCCTAGACTCTGGTTCTAAGTGAAGGCTGTGATTTTTGATTAATAGTCTGATTTGATGATCTGAGGCTTTTAAAAGGAAAATAAAATGCAGGTACTTTAATAGCATTCTTTGTAGTACTTCAGGCTTATTTCCCGTGCCTTGCACTGTAAATTACGTTTTGTTTCTTTGAATGTCGCTCTGCTGGAGGAGAGAATCAGCTTATCATAACCGGTTAAAATGAGTGTTGCGGTACAGAAATGCAACAAACAGAGCAAGTGCTCTCCTGAACCGCACGGTCCAGGCCCGCAGCTCCTGGAGGAGCACCCGAGCTGCTCGCGAGTGCTGGTCACTGGTGACACCCCGTGGGCCGAGAGCGAAGTGACGGCGCCTGCCCATGGGCGGCCCCCGCAGCACAAAAACTCCTCAGGTCTACGTGGCAGTGACCGATAAACACTCCAACCGGAGAGGGGGGCGTTGCGTTTCCCACGGGAAGAGTCTTTGCGAGAGGAGGTGGCTGTTCGGAGGGGCGCACTCGAGTCCATTGACTTTTATTCCGAGGGTTTCCAGGGGCGTGGGGAGAGGAAGCCGCCTTCCGCTGCCGCCGCATCCTCACCGTGCACACACACGCCCTCCTAGGAGGGTCCCAGCAGCGCTGCTGAAGCTGTGCAGTAAGCAAGTGGTGTGTCTTCCTGATGTCTGGCAATGCGGTGTCTTCCAGGAAGAAATGATGAGCCAGCTTCTCTTGTTGCTTGTGTTTCAGTCTGCCTTCCTGCTTCTGTTCTTTGCTCTGCGAGGGCAGTTGTGGGTGCCAGGCTGATGAGGCTGTAAAGAAGAGATGAAGACAGTCAAAGTTTTTGCCCCCTCTGTTCTAATTGGAAACTATTTTGAAAGATAAACTTCATAATTTCTGCTCTACATTTTATTTGTGGTCAGTTTATGCTCTTAAACTGTTGTGCCAGTATTGTTCTTGAGTAGCTCCCTTCCCTCCTCAGCATTTATTCCTTTGATGTATTTGTAGATAGTAATCGTATCCCCTTTCAGTCTCTGTCTTTGCCAAGCTATACAAGGCAAAGCATCCCCGCTACTTCTTGTAAAATAAACAGTCCATTCCCTGGATCATCTAACCCGTCCTCCTCTGCACTTGATTATGGTTTCATTATCAAGAGATCGGCTTCAGCAAAGAGCTCTGCTGGCAACCTGCTGTGACCCTGCAAAGTATGGATTGACTAAAGCATTGAGAGCAAATGTGGCTTCAGAGCAAGGTTATTAAAATATATAAGGCTCTTAACTTTGCTTTTTATCCTTGTCTTGTTTTGGGACAACACTGTCTGCTGAAGATGTTGGAAAGGTCTTTGTGGATCTCAGAAAAATAAATTCCCCACCCAGATCTTAGGGATTTGTGGGTGCTAACAAAAGCATATAGTTTTTGCTGTGAGTTGCCAGCAGGGCATGCCTGTGTTGCTGTATACAGTAATTTCTTGATCAGAAAGTGGTAGAGTATCAATACGTACATACTTGCTCTTTTGTCCTTTCCCTTTTGCGATTCCATTTCTTATGACTGAGTCCTAAATCATGCTCACAGTGAAAGGTGGTTGAACATGAACTTCCAGTGCAGTATGGTGGAAAATCACTGCGTGCTTGGATGTTATAAAAATGGAAAAATTATTTTTTATCTGTGTGTGGCATTGGTGAAGCTAGTACTGGAGTGCTGCGTATGATTTAAGTACAAACACTGTCTAAAGACTCTTGAAAACAGAGCCGAAGAGAGTACCTTGCATAGGTACAATGTGCACATACGTGATGCCTTAGTATCTTTTACAGAGACTGAAAAGTAAATTCTTTTGAACAGGATAGAGCCAACATAGCTCTAAATCCCTTTATTTCAGCCTCTTCCATCCTACTGTTGTCACTTAGATGTCATCTTTTCCTTTTGCCTGCTACAAAGCACTGAGAATTGAGCTTAGGGCATGATAAGGATTCAGCAGAGCTCCCAGCTGTCCAGCTATGCGTGAAGAGCATGTTTGGAAATTGATAGTCTGTGAACTGTCACGGGTACAGAAGGATCTCCAGTTTCTCCTGTTGCCTTGATACTGGAGAGGGTCTGACAAATTACCTTGACATGGTGGTGTTCTGGATTAGCTAAATATCAAACCCAGATATTGTATGATGTGACTGGCGAAGATACCTTAGTGGTCTGCATGTTCCTGGGGAAGCACGTGAGGAAAATGAGGAGAAGTCATTTCCCCTCCTTAGGCTTGACAGATGTCTGTGCTTGTGCAATGCATCTGGAATGGCAGAGAATTGTTCAGGCAGTGATGTTAGCATAGTGTTAAAAATTTCCAAGCACATGAATGTTGTGTTCAGAAAATACTGGTGCCACATCTGCACATGTAGGGGAATGTCATCTTAGCATTCACCAGCAACATCCCTAGTGCAGATGAGCTACCTGTAGTAGCTGATTTAAGCTTGGGTTTTTAAAAGAGTCTTGAAAACATAATAGGTTTGTGTTTTGAAGAATGAGCTCTGGTAACAAAATATACATAAGCTAAGTTACTGTTGTGAAAGAATTTCTAAAATATTCTGGTAAATAAAACATTTTATCTCATTGTAGGTATTTTGGCACCAGTGTGTGGTAGTAGGAGTTATTTTTCCTGCTGTAGCTAAGTTTCTTTATATCTTTTTATTACAGTTGCTGCTAAATTTAGGCTGAAATT